TGCCGTTTGCCGGGACTGTTGCCGAGTTGACATCACAGAACCGCCGATGAGCACTATTAATTGCAAATAAGACCTCCCTGTGACCTTCCTGATTTGGTTGAACCTACAGTATAACTCCAGGGGATCCCATCGCTGCGTACGGCTGATAGCGTCTATGTCCCCCAGGGTACTGCCGGAACGTACCCTGGGTACGGTCCGGTATACCGGAACCTACCCTGGTACTAAATACTACTATCTAATATGCCGGACCGTACCTCGCCTACTCCACTAACGAGTCTAGGGAGTCGCCTAAGCCTACGCCCTAACCCTAACCCTAACTCTAACTCTAACCCTAACCCTAACCCTAACCCTAACACTAACCCTAACCATATCAGCTAGATAGTTACCAGAGTACGTTCCGGTATACCTGACCGTACCCAGGGTACGTTCCGGCAGTACCCTGGGGGACATAGACCCTATCAGTCTAAGGCCGCCATGTTTCAACACGCCATAGCAACAGATGAACACAGAATATCTACGGTTGGATACTAGCTCTGCCAGTTGTTTTGGTGGCTATTTTTCAGTTCCAGTGTAATCTTGAGTAATTAAACGTTATCCATAACACCAGTAGTCCGGAAATAATATTCAGTTTGCACAAAAATTTATAAAATATTCGGGAACACAGACTTGATCAAACTGTTGACTTTGTGCATACACTAGCGTATATTTACAGAAACACGTGTACATTTTTCCTACCAACAGGATTCGCGCGCCACCGAACCACAATTCCCCACACTAGTTTGCTAAACCAACACTATACTAGTAGTTGGTCAGCGAACGATACAAGTATAGTTTGCACAGAAACATGGTTTTCCGCGCGCAGTGTGCAACCTTTGACCTGCGTACGTGGCGCGAGCCTCGGGCGCATATGGCGGCCGCCGATTCCGAACCCCCAACGGCCGCCGCACGGCCCACGGCACGCGTGATTTTTTTTCCTAGGTCAATCAAGAACATAGGGCTGTAGTGAGCGCTGCTATTGGTTGGGCTTGTTTCGTCGCTCAATGACGTCACAGTATTGCCATATACATAGCACATTCAATATCAAAGTTCCTATATGACTCAACAGGTTAGCGATTAGAGCGCCAGCGTCAAGTATGGAAGGTCTGTGATCGAATCCCATCCTTTTTCTAATTATTAATTATTTTCCTGTTTTCTGTATTTTCCTATCTTTATTCGTTTAACATTTTTTTCCCAATTAACGCATGATTTAGTTACAACATTTTAATAACAACAATTAATTTTTACAACAATTAAAAATTATATTTTTTATATATATTTTTAAATAGGATTTGGGTTAGGGTTAGAGTTAGGGTTAGGATTAGGGTTAGGGTTAGGGTTAGGGTTAGGGTTAGGGTTAGGGTTAGGGTTAGGGTTAGGGTTAGGGTTAGGGTTAGGGTTAGGGTTAGGGTTAGGGTTAGGGTTAGGGTTAGGGTTAGGGTTAGGGTTAGGGTCACAATGCAGTGAATGCACCATAAAACAGGAGTTTGAGGCACGTGATTTGTATCAACCAATGGCAGCGTTCGCTAGAGCCCTATGTTCTTGATTGACCTAGGAAAAAAATACACGCCCACGGCACACTGGCGCATTCTATAGGAGGCGTACAACAGTAAGCCTCCGCAAATTGTTCACCATTTCGCACTATTTCGTCTCTAGAAAGGCTTTTTTCGGCATTTTTTTTCGCAGAAATTCGGCACTAGAGTGCAATAATTTGCATTATGCACGCAAGTTAGATCCCTCGTGGACGTCAATAAAGCATTAGAAGTAAAATGGGTCTTCTTGTGTATTCGTGACATTTCTAGTCTAGAATTTTAGAAATGTAACTCAAATCGTTCGCGCCATAGGATAGTTAGTACACCTTTCTACCGTCCATAGCGGTGCGTATATATTAGCCTATATGAGCGATACCGCGCGTATATTTTTGGTAATTAATTCAACTATTTGTGCTTCAATAAACAAAATTCACAAAGACCATAGTTAAGACATGTGTTTATATTTATCTCGAATTTTAGAAATGTAACTCAATTCGTTCGCGAGATATTAGAGTTAGTACACTTTCCTACGGCCCATAGCGCATGGTGGTGGTGGTGGTGTGTGTGTATGTGTGGTGGTGGGGGGAGGGCAGCGTGCTCAATAGGAGCGGTGGCCGTTGGGTGGTTCGGAATCGGCGGCCGCCATATGCGCCCGAGGCTACGTTATCGCGCCACGTACGCAGGTCAAAGGTTGCACACTGCACGCGGAAAACCATGTTTCTGCGTAAACTATACCTGTATCGTTCGCTGACCAACTACTAGTATAGTGTTGGTTTAGCAAACTAGTGTGGGGGGAATTGTGGTTCGGTGGCGCGCGAATCCTGTTGGTAGAAAAAATGTACACGTGTTTCTGTAAAGTAAGATAAGGTTTATATAAATAACATGTTGGTGGCGTTACAATGTGTATGGTTGGCGGAAAATATGGTGTGTGTTTGTAAACCGACATATGATTGGGCTAAATTGACAAACCGTACACCATACTTTCAGGAGTCTATCAGTACTCCTGATACTTTACTAGCTGATTGCTCAACCTTTACGTGTACAATGCCGCCTTTCAGTCGCAAAGTTTATCAACTCGCTTAACACGTCCACGCTGCATGGAATCAAAACTTGATCGAGTAAACCCACATGCAGTCATGGTACTCGTACCTCCTTTCCCTGCCGTTTAGTCGTACCGGCGCGCAATGATCGTATCAGGAGTGAATAATAATAGTTCTATATCTATTATTCTCTCTCTCTCTATATATATATATACATATATATCTATATATATATATATATATATATTATATCTATAAAATATCTATTATTATTCACTCCTGATAATATTGTTGGACGGTACTGTAAGGGTATACTGTGGACGGTACGGTCAGGAGCAACTGTGACTCTATATACAAATGGTTTTTCCATAACCACGCCGGGCCCCGCGTCCAGTTTCACAACAATTGAGTTTGCATGTGTTATTGTATCCGGTTCATGCCAGTGTTGTAGTGGTAAATAATTTTTTGGGTATACTCCCTTACAGGGGCGATGATAACGCGAAGGGGGGTCTGGGGGGCCCTCCCCCATTAAAAAAAAAATTAGACCCCCTTAGATGCGTTTTCTGCGCGAGCAGGGGGGGGGGGTCCGGACTCCCTGGACGCCCCCTGTACACGCCCCTGCAGTAATTGAAATAATATAGGTCTGCCCATGTCTCCAAATTATCATAATTAGCTGAACCATGTTAGTTACTGTGTTGTGTATGTTTGTGTATATATTTATGTATATAATTATGAAAATCATCGACATTCATACGCTGCGCGTGGTGTTCCATAGAATTAATTTGTGTTGGCTATCCATATACGCGACTAACTTTTGACAAATCAAACGTACGTATTATCGACATTGATGATTGCGCATCCGCCTCCAAGGGCCGGCGGGGCGCACGTGGCGCGCCGCGCCCAGGCTATGCTAGTGTAGCGGTTTTGCTCTGTGCGCCTGAACCGTGACTGTATGTTTTCCGTTTTTCAAGTATACGGCGTATACATAAGTATACCCTCCACTACATCACTGGTTCATGCCATGCACAAGGTGCGTTTCTACGCATAATAACATTTAATCTGCCTAGCTATGAACTGGACCACATATTCCGCAGATTCGCCTAGCAGTATTGGCCTACGTTGAGTGTGTAGGGGAATCAAGCATTGGCTTATAAGTTTAATTGCAATTCCGCAGGAATGACATGGAGGCGATTAATTGAAAACTCTAGGCCTACGGACGTGCCTAGTACAATCGCGTTTCTAAATGGTGAAGCATTCAATATGGAGCGTGGGATGCCTACGGAAGGTGCATCGCAAATCGTGACATCGCTACTTCGACGTGGCGGCACTGCCCTGCCTTTGTCTCTTACTATACTAATGTATATAGATAGGTCGCCGACAACCCAGCGACCTGACTTCCAAGAGAAATGACGTAGGACTGAGATTAAACATTCAAAACGAAGGGTGATATGCCTGGAGGTGAGCATCGCAAGTTGCGACCTCGCTATACTTTGATGTGGCGGCGCAGCCCTGCCTTAAGTCTGTTTCCATACTATTGAATATAGATAGTGCGCGTGGGCGAACTAACGCCCAAAGGAAATAACGTAAGTCCGACGTGCAGCATTCAAAAATAAGGGTGTTATACCTATAAGAAGTGCGCATCGTAAGTCGCGACATCGCCTTACATTAATTCACAAGGTAACCTGTATGTATGTATGTATGTGTGTGTGTGTGTGTGTGTGTGTGTGTGTGTGTGTGTGTGTGTGTGTGTGTGTGTGTGTGAGAGTATGTGGGGCGAGCCCCTGCATCCCACCCGTTAAGGCCTTCGCTCCAAGGCGCTCGCAGTGTGCGCTATGCGCACACATTCTTCGTTTACTTTGTGATAGAAGTAACTGCAAAATCACACCCCCCCGATAACTGAGGACCTGTCTACGCCACCGAATAACAGGATAACTATATCTCCGAAGTTTGCCTCGCCCATATCGTATTATTGCAGTGTCATCTTACTTTCCGTATTGTGCATCGTATATGCATCATCAAAGGTCAGTGAGTATATTTGTATAAGAACTGTAGTATATCGACAACGTAAACAATTTACTGTATGTATACCAACGTTAATTTAGGTGACATATAGGATCTCTCTGCACCGAAGGCTCGCCCAAACATTGCGTAGAGTCCTATCTATAATCCTGACACTCCTAGCAGGGGGGGGGGCAAGGAGGGCAAATGCCCCGTAGAAAAAAAATAGATATAATTCATGGTCAATGGCGGTCACCTTCCCAGAACACACCACACACGTGGCTTTGCCCCCAGATAAAATGGGTTAGCTCCGCTCCCGATGTATAGCAGGTTTTAGATCACACATAGTAGGCCTACCCGACGAGTGCAAACGAAACGCTGCGTCATTCGGGAACAGGCACGGAACAATACAATGGTAGATGCGATGTTATGGTCAGTTCGGGAGATTTTGACTGCGACTGTTAGTTTCATTCTCATTGTCGCGGTCTTACTGAGGTATTTGAAGAGTCGGCGTAATGTCCCGCCTGGCCCACGCGGTCTTCCCATCCTCGGGTCTGTTCTTTCAATGGGTGGTCGGCCTGATTTGTATCTGAATGATATGGCTAAAATATACGGACCCGTGATGAGTGTGAATATTGGGCCTCGTCTTAATGTCATCCTCAACGACGTCGACGCAGCGAAAGAAGCATTTCTCAAACAAGGCGAAGTGTTTTCCGGGAGAAGCAAGTTGCTATTTTTTGATGTTTTTGTTGCGACTATCTTGGGCGATGCCAGAAATCTCAACCATGGTAACTATGAGAACTTCTATATTTTTTTCTCTTTTGATGCACCGTATATTCTAGCTTGTGGTTTGCTTCCCTATATATTACGTTGTTATAGACGAAAGTGTCATACGAGGAGAAAGATTGTCAAAACATGCTCGAAAGCGCATATTAACTCTCATCCTTCCCGCGTAAACTCTTGCACGTTTATGTATTGTTGTGTTTGTAATGGAGCCGAATAAACCAGTCTAACGACCTCATTACCTTCCATTCAATGAGGCGTGGTGCTGTCTACTGGTAAATTATGGAAGGAGCAGAGGAAGTTTTCACTCGAAAAACTCAGAGAATTTGGAATGGGAAGGGTGAGTCTCGAAGAGAAAATCAAGGAAGAGGTTTCCTGTCTTCTTGCCGAACTGAAGTCGACGAATAGCCAAGCATTTGACATGCAGGTAGGCGAATAAAATGGCGATCGTAGCACATCAAATCCTCAGAACAGCGATGACAATCTTGGTCGTCCGACGTGGCTTTATTACGCAAGTTAAAAGAATGGCTTCTACAGTTTTTTTCATTAATGAAGATATTCGATACCGAATTATTTTGCACCTTCTAGGCGGCCTTGTAATTTAGTTACCTTGCGTTCTGCGCAGCATATAACGATATGAAACGAGCTATCAAGGTAACTTAAATTTAGCTCTACACGTACAGCGAAGCAACTCGACAAATGCTGGGCTTTACGGGTAGAGCTACGTTTAATTGACCATGGCAATCAAGTCTCATGCTGCTAAACAACTTGCGTGCATATGTGAACATATACATTGCGATTACAATGAGTACTATACGTGGCAAATTCGTAGCCTTTTATTTCGGGGATAAACACACGAGTTTTACTACCCGTGCAGCTAACCGTTGAATGCACCAATGAACCAATGAACCAAGTTGACCATTATTCTGTATGATCGCGTGAGTGTTTGAGTAACACGCGACTTGATCGCTCCGTGAGTGAGGTTGTACCCGACCTGGCTGCTGAACTCGTGCTCGCGTGTCTATGCGTACGTGTGTTTGTGTGTGCGGGTGTGCGTGTGTGCGTGTGTGCGTGTGTGCGCGCGTGTGTGTGCTCGCGTGTGTGTGTGTGTGTGTGTATTTGTGTGTGTGTGTGTGTGTGTGTGTCCGCGCGCGCGTGTGTGTGTTACCGGAGTTATAGACAAACCCGTGAATAACGCTGTTAATTACAGCATAATCCTTGGTAATGTAAAATGACACGGTCCGTCGTTGTTGTCATCGATAACTTCATGAGTACTCCTGATGATTTGCATTTCACAGACGATACTGATGATGAGCGTGTGCAACGTTATCAGCAGCATCGTATTCGGTAACCGATTTGAATACGATGACGAGCAGTTCAAGATCCTGCTGAAAGCACTGAGTGACCAGTTTGCCCTCATCAGTGTTGCCGGGGTATTAAACTTCATTCCCTGGCTCCAACACTTCCCACCGTTCAATGCGCGAGTCAAGGAGGCCATTCATAACGACAGGTATATAACGAATGTCAGCACGAACCGTTCATGTAATTCGAGATCGTGTACTGATATAGCTGTGTATATAAACGCGTAGTCTCATAGCCGCCTCGGCGTTGGAAAATGAGGCTATCCGTGTAGAAATTTTCTACAAGTGACAGATCCTATTGAAATGCCACAACTACGTTCGTTTATCACATCGTCCGGACGCCCCCTCACCCTAGTAGATGTGTCACCGTGAGCGTAACAATGTTAATTCTGGACATTGTAGAGTAATAGTCGATGTCCTGATGGCTAAGCGAGAAGCGCACATCGCCGATTTTGACAATGACAACATCCGGGACTTCATCGACGCCTACCTGAGCGAGATAAAGAGCGAAAGGGCGGCGGGACGGCAGACGACGTCCTTCAGCGGTAATCGCAATGAATTTCAATAACAATACCAAATAAATTCATATTAATTTCAATAGATTTTCAAATAGCAGTAGATTTCGCGACGTAATTCAGCCGTCAACGCGGGTGAAATTCTCCTTCGCGTGTGTAAATTCTATACTATATCTTCTATCTTCTAACACGAATTCCACTGTTGCACTCTGACAGAGAGCGAGCTGCTCTTCGTAGTGGCCGATCTTTTCGGTGGCGGCACAGAGACGACAACGACGACACTGCGATGGGCAATGCTATTCATGCTCAAACACCCGACCGTGTGCCAGAAGGTACAAACCGAGATCGACGAAGTAATTGGGCGAGGCAGAATGGCATGCATGGCAGACAAGAAAAACATGCCATACACTGAGGCGACGATTACGGAAGTTCAACGCCTTGGTGTGTATCCATGATTACGTGTAGTTAACTCCGTACATAACGGTCGCTCGCCGCGCAGTAGCCGTTATAGAAAGATGCTTTCGCTCTATAACTGCTACACAAGAGAAACGCCAAAAGTGGCTTACGTCAACAGGTGGCCGTTATATAGAGATGACCGCTAACGCAGGTTTGACTAATAACCCATATATAGTTGTTATACAACCAATATAGGTGGTAGTGCAAACAAACTATAATTTACCTCGAAAATCCTGAAAGCACGCTAGTGTTCCTATTTAAAACGTCGCGACGTTTCAGTAGCGTTACTCAGTTAAGACAATAACAGATCGACAGCACTAAATAATTAAATAATTAATAACGAAATAATAAGCATAAATAATTAACTACGACTCTCAGTCTTTAACCGCCCGTGTGCATGTGTATCATTTACTGTGCTCAGGTAATATCGCACCACTGGGAGTACCACACTTAACGCTAGAGGAAGTAGAGTTCGGAGGCTACACCATACCGGCGAACACTCCAGTGATAGCCAATATGACTGCCATCCTGAGGGACCCTGCACACTTTCCAAATCCTGACATATTTGACCCTGAGAGGTTCTTGGATGAAGAAGGCAGATTCGTTAAAAATGAAGCCATGATACCATTCTCCATCGGTATAAGAAGCCATTCAAATTTTGCCTATATCACACTGTAACAGAAATGGAATTTTCTCGAGTATCTCACTGTCTTTCTCTCTCTCTCTTTTTAAATATATATATTTAAATAAATAAAAAAATAAAAATAAAAAATAAAAATAAAATAAAATACATATATATAGGCCTAATACATTGTTTAAACGAATAGACATTTATATTGACCATGGTGCCTGCACGACGTAGTATTATATTGCCACTTATACTTCCATCACGTATTAACTGTTGTATGCTTCGTGTTGCCTCCAGGTCGCCGTGTCTGTTTGGGAGAATCTATCGCCAGAATGGAACTGTTCCTTTTCTTCACGAGCATCTTGCAGAACTTTGATATCAAGTTAGCGGCCGGCGCCCCAGAGCCGAGTTTTGATGGAATTCTTGGTCTCACTTGGATGCCCATGCCTAGTAAAATTTGCCTTCCCCTACGGGAGTAGAGGTCGATTGCTTACGTTGAGGCGAATTGTCTAGTGCATGATGTATTCACACAGTTGCGATTGGAATGTAAAGCATTACTGTTATCTGTCACGTCTAAATTCAGAGCATAGATATGATTTCGTTTCCAAAACGCTTAATCATCGCTTCATCTCTGTATTGCTTTCTAATAAATGTCATCACGAATTTTTTTTCATACTGAAGTTAATTATTTAAAATATTTGCGCGCTCAACATAAATTTCGTTGTAACGTTGTTACCCTCTCCGTCTTCTTTTTCTTCTTCTTCTTCTTCTTCTTTTTCTTCTTCTTCTTCTTTTTCTTTTTCTTCTTCTTCATCTTCTTCTTCTTTTTCTTTTTCTTCTTCTTCTTCTTCTTCTTTTTCTTCTTCTTCTTCTTTTTCTTCTTTTTTTTCTTCTTCTTTTTCGTCTTCTTCTTTGTTTTCTACCTTTCTTCTTCTTGTTCTTCTTGTTCTTCCTCCTGCTCCTCCTTCTCTGTTCCTTCTCTCCATCGTAGCTTTGATATATCTCGGTACGGACATAGACCCATCGATTAGGGTCAGGGCCGTACGCAGCAGGGGGGCAGCAGGGGCAGTTGCCCCCCCCCTGGAGATTTTCAGAGTATGCCTTTCAATGGGACAAATACTGTACACTTTTAGAAATAAAAAAAAATGTGACAAAAGGTTATCTTAAATCATCAAAGAAATATTACTTTAAATAAAGAAATGTGAAATTGCGAAACTTTAGGGCACAGGGGGCATGGGGAGTACCTTTGCCCCCCTACAGAAGATTTCCTGCGTACGGCCTTGATTAGGGTATGTTGATCTTACGACTGGAGATATCAACGTTCTCGGTCCGCATATCTCTGTCAAAATTCCGACTGCAAGAAACTGCGAACAACTTATAATCGTCGCTACTATGCAAATATTGGGGCCGTAACTAATTCGTTTTGCCTGGGACTCAAAGCCACGCGCGGTTGAATTCTTGGAGGTTGACCGTCGCTAGTTCTCCATTAGTTATTAAATTATTTATTAATATCTACAATAATACCCAAATACATTAGGTGTAACACTGGCATAACTGTGAATACTCGTCTCCAAAACCGTATACAGTGTATGGTATATACGGTTGTTTCTCGTATGCATTAGAGTGCGTTATACATGTATTTATGCATGTCCGGGCTTACCATTACGGCACTAGTACTCGGCGCTACACAAAGATGTTATGGTGTTATGCCGATGTTACTCAGCCCACGCATTCATATAGCACGCGGACTGTTACGTACATTTATTATTACTATTAGACGCCATTTGGCAAATACCACAAGGGCGGACGGAATAAATTAAAGCTGTATACGATATCTAATTCATCTAAACTGTAAGGTGTAAATAAACGTTTTACAGTCACGTCTAGCGAGTGCCTAACTGGTTAATATTGGGGAGAAGCCATAAGAGGCAAGGCCTCAGTACTATGAGTAGTTTCGGTAGAGGGAGAGAGCTCACTAGTCCTAGTTTTGGGAACGAGGCAACGAGCATGACTAGCAAAACGCTCGATGGACAATTTCAAGGATGACCTGAAGATGATGACACTGGGGAAAAGAGACATTGAGAACAGGGCGCATACACACAATGTAACATTAAAGCGCAGCAACACATGAAATATTTAGTATAGTGTTCGTAATTGATACGTTTTCGTGTTGATTCTGCACATATGAATGAAAACGAAGCGCATGACGACCTTTGCGTCTGTTGGAATATGATAAGGAAGCGTAGCGTACGTGCAGTCATGATGTCTTACGATACGTACGTTATCTGTTCCATACTACGTCTACGTTAGTCCTACTGTAGTCTGTACATAAATGTGTCAGTAGAAGGGGGGCATATATACCCTGCAACGCCCATCGTCTAAAATAACAACCAATGTACTTCTGTACCTCCAACAAACTGAATGCACTGCGAGTGGGTAGGGCTTTGAAGAGGAAGGAAATGTCGGAGTTAAATAATGTAATAGCATAATATTTGCATGTAATCTATTTGTTGCGTGCGTTATCGAAATTCTAACCTGCGCAGCGTGGTTAAGATAGCTACTGATCATGCGCGCAGGCGCGTCTCGGTCAGATCCTCCAAATAGAGAGTGAAACGGAAACCGCTGTTATGACTGCCAAGTATAGCGTCCTATTCAATTTGATTGAATCACTTTATTTACACTTATGGCAATTACATTTTTAAGTATTAAAATAATTAACCAAATTAATTAAAGCTGCTAAATCTAAAGAAATTAAACTAAATAAAGGGAAATTATATAGGGCGAAGCGTTAGTGTTATAGTTAGGGTTAGAAATAGTTTTATGTCTAGGGATTAGGGTTACGGAAACTGAACACATAGCTCTACTCTAGCCACAGGCTAATGGCCTATGGTGCTTTGCTGAATAGATTTTTATAAGCGTCACAATTAGGTTACATGAATAGGGCATGTTAAAGTATCATTGCATCATTTACCACACAATTACCCTCTTCTCAAAAGCCTTACACACTTTCGCAGCGGATTAAGTTCATTGGGTGTCTTGAAGTACATGGTTGTTGTAATATTGTCGGGACTGTGGGCTATACGCTAACCGGGGCTGGACGCGTGTGTGTGTGTGGTACGCGGGCAGAGGGTGGTATTATTAGTGGCGTATATTTTGTTTTAAATAAATGGTATCTATTTTACAATGGACTACACATAGTAATGATTTGAGTATTTCACGAAAAATGTATAAATTTTACAAATATAGTCTAACAATCGTCAGTGTAGCTTTATTCGAATGAACCGGAGTCTCTCGGATAGCTAATTATTGTATATACTATCTTCTAGTGTCAATATTTTCGTCGCTTGTTTTGGTGTCCATAGATAATTACCCAAGAAGTTTGTCCGACAATGAGGGTCAGAATAATTTTGCGACGTATTCTTAGATTACCAATAGCAATTATTGCACCGTAATATTCTTACCTACTAGTAAACAAGATGCCCGTGCGTGCATGTGTGGGCGTGGACATGAGCGGATTACAAAAATCCTGCCAAACTACTAACCCGATGAAAAAATTCAGAGTTATCCTGCATACTCTCTACAATGAGTACACGGCGCCAGGTGTACCCTGCACCATGCCCACCTGGTAGCATGCGTAGACGTACGTAGCTCTAGAACTATAGCCCTTCGCTCGGCCACAGGCAGTGGGAGCAGTGGGAGCAGTTCCGTTGCCCAGTTTCAACATAGTTTGTGCTATAGCCCTCTGGCAGAGCGAAGGGCCATAGTTCTAGAGCTAGCGTAGACGGTACCATGAGTGCCATGCGCCATGCATATTCGGTGCATGGCGATGGATGCAAATGCCGTGTGGACGTTATTCCATGCGTATACTGCACCGGGCATTCCACGTGTATAGTGCTGGCGACGTGCTCACTAGGAAGATACGCAATATATATATATATGTATATATATATGTATATACATATGTATATATGTAGTATTAGTAGTAGATCAGTAGTCGTCTGTATCATTAGTATGTCGCCGCTTTGAATCTTTTCGCTCGTCCGGGATATTCCCATGTCGCGTGTTACGTTGTCCTGGCTCAGCAATAGCTGATTACGCATTTCTTTCGCGTTTACACACACGTTCCGCACTGATGCCAGCACAGCACGTGATCGTGTAGCATAAAATCCCTAGCTGTTTTCTTTAACCCGGGGTTAAAGGCCAGAACGGCAGGACGTACCCATAGCATCAACGCTCCTTGTGAATATTGGTTTTCTGTTGTGCGTATGTCGTGTTGCATACTGCTTCCGTCGGTAACTCTATAGGGCATCCAGTAAACGCTAGTATCTATCCTATAATTATACTATATATACTATCCTATATCTAGTATACATCTAGTATATATATATCTAGTATACATCCAGTATCCGTTTGTGCGTTTTGGCGATACACGTTTCGAATTACACATTACTAATTTCTCAGTTTCACAAGGGAAAATATTGGATTTGCGCATGCACGTTCGCGCCGAGAGTATAGAGCATGAGGCGAAATTATGCATTCAAACCATTTTCGGGCTATCCGACTATAGCAAAACATCGTAAAATTCGGCGAGCGCCTGCGTATTTGTGAATTTCAGAGCGCCATCTTTTTCGTATGACCGACGGCGATATGCATATAATATATAGGTATATATATATATGCTGGACATAGTCTCCGGTCGACGATTTTACCGCCGCACCTCTTTCCGACGTCGTCTCTGCGACGGGCTGAGACGCTAGCGAATTTTTTTTTATAGCGTGCACCTAGTGCTGGCGACATGCTATCTAGGAAGATTGTAGGAATTCAGCGAAATACTGCTTCCGTCGGCAACTCTAGGGCATCCGTTTGTGCGTTTTGGCCATACACATTTTGAATAATTTCTCAGTTTCACAAGAGAAAATATCGGTTTTGCGCATGCCCGTTCGCGCCGAAAATATAGAGCATGAGGCGAAATTATGCATTCAAACCATTTTCTGGCTATCCGACTATATACGCGGTGGATATAAACAAGAGCTCATAATAGAGATTAGGCGATCATCAAAACGCGTTTTTGTCCTGTCGAATGCCTCCGATGTGACACAAGGATCGATGACAAGGTGGTTAAAAACATTGATGATTAAAACTTCTCGACAGCCATGGCAATAAGGTAGATGGTAACGCGAGTTTCTCTTACAAAATTACTGTCCATTAGCCTACAACCACACCTGCCATCCACATGCACACCGTGCCGAAATTTTGATTTGAAAGAACATCCCGCGTAACACAAGCTCAGCCACAGGGTCAGTTTACATACCCTCACGACCTGGATCACCACGTTGCTGTCGCGTGGGGGCTTGCACACTTCTATGACTCCAAGGGTGAAGTCAACAAAGGTTTAACCATGCTGAACCGGCCAAGGAAGAGGAGGTAGACGAAGAGTGATCCAAACTCGGCACTCGGACGAGGTTACACATCCTCCCGGGTCCACACCTTCACAGTAATGAAAAACAAAGCTCAAAAGAGATATTACACTGGCCATCATCATGTTGCCGCCATACGATACTACGACAACTAATTTACATCGTCTCACTAGAGTTATACTTTTGCGTAGTTCTTAAGCGGTGCCTATTCGTACATCGTCTGTGTCTAAAGTGTTTTCATTAGCAATATTTCAAA